ACTGAAGGATCCCAGGTTCGAGTCTAGTCTAGAGCACATACCTCAGTTGTAGGCTCAACCCCTGGCTCTGGTCTGGGCGCATGCAGGAGGCAAGCAATCAATGTGTCTCTCTCACATTGATGTTTCTCTCTGTTTCTCCCCCTCCCTTCCACTTCTCTAAAAATCAATGGAAAAATATCCTTGGATGAAGATTTACTAGTAAAAGAAAAAAAACAAACACCCCCTCACGCCCCCATCTATCATTTTTATCTTAGGAAGTACTGAACTAATTCTTAATTCCTTTTTATGAGTGCATTTAAAAATACAGAATGTTTGGGAGATAAGAGGATAAGAATTTTACTTTCCCTATTAGGCTTTTGCTCCTCTCTCTCTCTCTCTCTCTCTCTCTCTCTCTCTCTCTCTCTCTCTCTCTCTCTCTCTCTCTCTCATGATTTTTTTTTTATTCCTCACTTGAGGATATATTTTTATTTGTGGTTTTTAGAGAGAGAAATGGAGATAGATAGATATATAGAGAGAAACATCTATCGGTTGCCTCTCGTATATAGGAATAGATCCCACAACCTAAGTATGTGCCTTGACAGGAATCAAACCTGCAACCTTCTGGTGTATGGGATAGCATGCCAACCAACTGAGCCACCCAGCCAAGTCTTCATTCTCTTTCTTTTAATGACCTTCAGGTCTCTGACTTTTTGAACTTAAAAAAAAAAATTTTTTTTCCTTAAAGAACTGGACTATTATACTAAGTAATAGCAATGAATAATCTATTGGCATCCTGCTGCTACTCCCTACTGTTCCTTTTCTTTCCCTCTTTCATATACGTGCTGTCACACACAAGTTTAATGCATACAGCTCAGACATTAACAGGCACCCCACCCAGCCTGCTCCCAATCACATTGCCAACCCCATGCCTCCTGCCCAGTCACCGGAGAGCACAGTGCCTGGTCCATCACTCAGATCCATTATTCTCACTTCTCCCTCTGGCATATGTTCCTTCTAGATGCTTTTGTAGCTCATGGTAAACAGAAGCAAGACATATTCTACATTGTAAGATTAATATTGTATATCTTTGACTTTTACAAAGCTAGGCACTCTGGAAACTGATGTTTAATAGATGTTAACGGAATTTAATTTTTATACACCCTATGTTCGAACATTTATCTTCGAAATAAAATGGCAACAAGAAAATTTCAAAACAAATTATTTTCCAATCTATAGCCTTAAATCAAAGTTTGAGCAAAGTAGAAAAGCTGTTTTTTTTTTTAATATTTCGATTTTAAAACCTGAATGTAATTATCATTAATGTGTTACACTGAAAGTATCAGCAGGCATTTTGCCAGAGTTAGTACCACTACAAAACATTCCTGAAATGATGCCTGAAGAAAATCATTCATTTTCAATAGGCAAGAAGTCCCCTCTCAGGAAAAAAAAATAAATGGCCTCAAACATATTAAATAATAATCAGCAGAATACTTGTTTTGAATATTTATATAAAAAGAAACAACTCTAATAAAACAACACAACTAAAATATACTTGTAATAGTATAGGTACTTGACAATGTGTGCTGAGTAAATTAATTTGTATTTTAAGGCTGTGCCTAGGAGTATAAAAGCAACTTGTTTCTAAAAGTACACTTTGTCTGGATGTAAAATATAGCTTCATTATACATTTTGCCTAATGTTATGGTTCACACAATTTGGATAACTAATTAAAGATAGAAGAAAATATCATCTTTGTCATCTTCCTACTTCATGAACTAATATACAAAGCAATCAGTTTATTCTCTACTTATTTAACATGCTGAGATTTTTCCAGTTCCAATGAATGCAGAAAAAACTCTTTTTGCTTCAGTGCCTGGCACTGAAGTGCCTACTTAATAAACATTTGATGAGTAAATGAATGATTTTGACAGCAGCCGGGCACTTAGAGCAAAAACGAGGCAATGCAGTGCATTGTGAAGAGCGAGTGAGGAACCTGATCTGGTTCTGCCCCAGTTCTGCCAGGAACTGGCTGTGTGACATTAAAGAAATCCCAACCCTCCTGAGCCTCAGCATCTTCCAGGTAAGGCAGGTGCTTGAAATGATCTCAATGGATGGCCTTCTAGCTCTAAGACTCTAGTTCTGAATCTTAAAATTAGCCAAGTGCCCTTGCCAGTGTTACTTTGGATTTGCGCCATGGACAGAGACACATTTCGGCTATAAAACTTCTACAATCTCACTTGATTACCTGGTGTAGCCTCCAGAACTAAACCTATTAAAAGGCCCGCTATGCAAAGGCAAGTTGTGGAAAGACAGACGCCTGAGGGTTTGAACGAGTGTGGGAGACAGAGAAGCAGAGGGACGGCTGGCAGACGTGTTTCCAGAGCTCACACCAGTGAAGCCCAGGGATAGCAGGATGTTGCAGAGACCAAGTTTTGTTTATGACCAATGAACAGCTGATGAATTTATAAAAGGCTCCCGAAGAGAGCCTAATGGGACAGTGACACTGCACATAAATAAAGGAGAATCAGTGCTGCCCGCTGGGACGACACGTGGACATGGCAGGCTGGTTCTCCTCTCTGTCTTGATTTACTGGATGACCTTGGGCAAGTCATTCATCTTCCCCCAAACCAGTTCCCCTAATTATAAAATGGAAATAAAAATACGTGCTGCCTTGACTGGGGATTAATGAGACAAGGTGAATGTCTAAGCTCCCAGAGGGGAAAAGCCTGTTTAAAAGCAAGCTAGGAACTGTGAAGTAGCAGTGTTGGACTTTTCATACAACTTGGGAGAGAAAACAACACAATAAAACCTGGAGCTCTAAGATTCCTACTTAAAAAAGAAAAGAAAAGAAAAAAGAAGAGCACCTTCTTAGTACCAGCCCAGTTTCTATGGCATTTGCTCTACAGCACAGGCTGGAGACTGGGAGGTTAGGAGCCGCAAGCCAGGCACTACCTTTATTCTGCCAGAGTTCGACCCTTGAAGCACCTTGCACAGTGACATCTTGGGGACAAAATTAGTGTTTGGGTTCCTTAATTCCTTATTCTGCAAGATACTGGATAATACTACTACATGTCATATATATTATATATGCTATACATAGCGGGTGCAGATGAAATCTAATGGAGTTGTACACTTGAAACCTGTATGGTTTTGAAAATCAATGTCACCCCAATGAATGCCATAAAAACACGAAAGAAGAAGAAGGGCGGGGGGGGGGGGGGGGGCCGGTAAACTAATGTAATGCCTTGAAGCTCACTCACTTCCTTGGGCTGAGTCCTCTGTGGTCCTTGGACACCGCCTTTTAAAATGTGCTCGCACGACCGCGAGGGGGCACTGTGAGTCTGCTTTGGCCAGGGAGAGAGGGAGCTGCGCTGGGCTTCCAGCCTCCAGCACTTACCTACCCACCCGCCTGCCTGCGGGGGGCAGCGATCCTGCCTCGGGTTCCCAAAGAGAGGTCTGCGTGGCTGGGGGAGGGAGGCAAGGCCATGGTGGCCCCACACCTTTTTGCCCTCACCCCCCTCACCAGGTTCCTCCTGCCAGCTGTTCTTAACCTGGGATTCGTGAGTCCAGGACTTGGGAACCCAGGCAGCCCTCACCCCCCCACCCCCGCACCCCCTGCCCACTCCATGCCACCGGAACTGTAGGGAGTATATTTGGTGCGCTTATATCTGGTGTGGTCCTGGGCAAAAGGAAACAAGCTGTCATCTGATCTTTAGGGGATCTGTGCCCCCCAAGGGGTTAACGTCTTTCGATTTAGGGAAAGAGGGACCTCCCTGCCAAGGGCCAAATGCTCAGGGCTAGGAAAATGCTCAAGGTTGGGGCTAGCCAGCGGCTGGCACATCCCACGCAGACTCCTTCCGGAGAAGTCCAGGTCAGGTTCTGGAATAGTTCAGGTGAGAAGCTGAGCAGCCTTTCTGCGCAAAGGGAGGAGGAGACAGTGAATCTGCCCAACCGAGTACCTAGACCAAAATCCTCTTTGCCCCCCGAAGAGGTCAGATGTTCCGGGAAATTTACACGAGGTTCCATCTGCAGCTCCTGTCCCCACCCCCAGGCGCTGGCTCAGGCATTGCACTGGGTGATTTTTGTTATTCTCTAAGGAAAAGTGGGCTCGCCTTGGGATCCGTGTTCACACCCCTCAGGGGGCAGGAAGAGAGACATCTGCGCCCCAGGCTGCAGGACTAAACGCCCCAAAGTGTCCAGGGGTGGGCAGAGCCACCAGGCAGAATGTGGGGCGGGGGGACTGAAGGGGAAGCACCGTGGAGGCGAGGGTTAGAGGACCCGGCAGAAAGTCCGGGGGAGGGCCGTGCGGAATGTCAGCAGAGAGAACAGCACAACGCACCCCAAACTTTCACAGCCCCGCGGGCCTAGGCAGGCGAACCGGGCAGAAGCACCTGCCACTCCCAGGCAGCGAGCGCCGTCCACGCGAGCCGCCAGACCTGGGGGCTCCCACCTGCGCGCAGGCTGCGAGGAAGGGGGGTGGGGGTGGGGTGTCCAACGCGGACTGGGGGAGCGGAGAAGGGAACTTGACCTCCCAGCCGCGCCCAGCCAGGTGGGGCTCCCAGGACGTGCCCTTGGGCAGCCCGAGGGCGCGCGGCTGGAGTCGGGGAGGCTCCGGAGGAAGTGCGCGCAGAGATCTCCGCGGGCTGGAGACATTGGATCCAAAGGAAACGGAAAGCAATCCCAGCAGCCGCGGGAGCCTGGCGGTTTAGAAGACACCCCTCCCCACCGGGACGACGACAGTGACACGCACTCGCGGAGACGAAGCGCGCTGGGCGGCCGTGGGGCTGCGCGGAGGTGGCCGCCTCCCCGGCTCGGGGCGCGCGCTCAGACCCCGCCGCCGCCGCCGCCGCCAGGAACCGGGATGCGCCGCGCAGCCCTGGGACGGCCCCTGTCGGGGAGGCTCCGGGGCGGCGCCGCGGGCCGCTGACCCCGCGCGGGTCCGAGGAGGGGTGTGCCGGGCCCCGCCCGCCCCCGCCCACTCCCGCGGCCGCCGCGCCCCTCCCCTCCCCTCCCCTCCCCGCGGCGGCGGCGGCGCTGGCCGGGGCGGCGCGGAGCGGCTCGCCCAACCGCCGGTGCCGGCGAGCTCCAGGCTGCTTGGGGAATTCACTTCGCCGCTTTTACGCTCCTAGGTTCCCCGGGATTCTTCTTGATGGCTCTCTGCCTCTGGCCCTCTCCGTTCTTTTAAAAGGAAAACTTTACTGCCGTTTCCCCCTGTCCTTGGAGGAGAGGATTAAAAGTTCCCAGAACTGGTGCGGCTCGGGCGCCGGGACGGGTGTTCGGCGGCGGGGGCTCCACTCCCATCATGTGCACCAACATAGTTTACGAGTGGCTGAGGGCGCTGCAGCTCCCGCAGTACGCCGAGTCCTTCGTGGACAACGGCTACGATGACCTGGAGGTGTGCAAGCAGATCGGAGACCCGGACCTGGACGCCATCGGGGTGCTGGCGCCCGCGCACCGCCGCCGCATCCTGGAGGCCGTGCGCCGGCTGCGGGAGCAGGACGCCGCGGCCGCCGGCCTCTACTTCACCCTGGAGCCCCAGCCGCAGCCCCCGCCCGCCGCCGCCTTCCCCACCGGCCGCCGGGGGGAGCCGTGCGGCGGCGGCCCAGCCCAGGGCACCCGCGGGGACCCCCGCGGCCAGACCACCGCCCCCCGCGGCAGGGAGCTGGTGAGCTATCCCAAGCTGAAGCTCAAGATCATGATCAGGGATAAGCTGGTCCGTGACAGCATCCACCTGAGCAAGCCTCCCTACTCCCGCAAGGTAAGGAGTCGCCGCCCGCCCGGTGGCTCTGGGCGCGCAGCCCACTCCAGGTGACTGTGGGGAGGCAAGCGTGCTTTGGGTATGTGGGGTTCTCGTCTACGTTCTTTCTGTATTCGCTGCTCTTTATTCCTTCCCTCTGGTGCCTAGCGGGTTAAGACTAGATCTTGGACCCAGTGTTAAGACTAGATCTTGGGCCCAGGTGTTCATTCTAAACTAGGGCCACGTCTCCGTGTGGTCTCCCATGTGCTCACCTGCCGGGAACTGGACTCAGGGTGCTTCTCCAGAAGCACAAGGCAATCCTGATATCCTGTTGTAGAGTTTGTGTCTGAAGGGGGCCAGGAGTACGGTGAACATGGACCTTATTTCCCGCCTTGCTTTCTTCCTCTGCCTTTTCCTCACCTTTTTGAGACACTCCCAAGGCAAATTGGCGCACTTCTTTCCTTGAAGAGTGAGGAATCATGCTCTGTTGTTCTCATTCTCATAAAACCAAATCCCAGCACTGCTGCACATTTTGAAAAGTGAACAGGGACCTGGATGTTCTGGTGGAAAAGTTCACAGAACACATGTCTGTCCACTTGGAGTAGATGTCTTCAGTTTAAGCACAGGGAGGTCTAAGACCGGATGGCCTCGGGCCACCAAGAATGTATGGCCAACGTCTGTGCCCCAGTCACCAGTTTGGTGTAGTGCCAATCCTGAAAAGATGCAGTAGGTCCAACTGCGACTTGTAGAAAGTCTGAGTGGCCTTGCATTTGCCAGATAAGGACACAGCACAAGGAGGTGTGATTTCAGGACCCAGCGAGGAATTCCCTGGCAGGGAGCCTGGGGAAGGGACTTGAAGTATTGGCAGCAGCTCTGTGCGGAAGGAAGGCAGAAATGTGGATTTGGCGTTGAATAGTTAAGTAATAGAAGGTCCTATTTCACACAAGAGTTCTGCCTCCAGTGGAATCTGTTCCACTTAGCTTTCTCCAGCCCTCTAGGTAGAGGGTTCTGACTTAAAAGGTAGAGACAGCACAGGTGATCCAGCCTGCCAGGTGTTACCCAGGATAAGGCACCTCAGCTGGAAAATCAAGGCAGAGAGAGCTGCCCTCCCCCTCTCTGGGGAGATCTTACACAGCTCCCTCCCAGGGAAAACGCTGATAATTCCATTGTGTGCTCATCCTGGGCACACACGCTGCTCTTTTATAGTCATGAGTAAAGGTAGTACTGTCTGGGATTTAAGGAAGTTCAAGCAAAAACTTTGTAAAAAGTAGGTAACAGTATGTAGGGTGGACTTACATAAAGGATTTAACATTATTCATATGTTATTTTGCAAAAACAGATAGACAATTCAGATAACCTGCTTGTGTATAAATTTGTTTTATAAAAACTATATAGAAGGAAGGTTTGGAGGACAGTTTGCCTCAAATTAAACCCATGTTCCAGTTGCCCACCATAACTTTCCAGACTGGTAGAGTTAGAGTTATGTCTAAATGTGGAGGGACTTGGCCATCAGTGTAACAGCTCATTTCTGGAGTCAGCAGGTCAAAGAAGTTCAAGGTCAGACTATTGTGACTTCTAGCCCAGGAGGTGAGGTAGGCTTAGGTTGAGAGAATGTAGGTACCTGGGATCATTGTAAGTTCAAATTCTGGCCAGACAGGGAGGCAGATAACAAGGGGTGTCAATAGGACTTATTTTTCAGGAAAATAAATGAGTAATGGGACTGGGAAGGCAAAGGATGCAGCAATGGTGGTGGAGGTGAGAGTGGTGTATTGAAAATGACACATTTGGATAATGATACTTAAAAAGGCAAACATAGAAACTGAAAAAGATTCCTCAGTGGAAGAAGATTGAGTCCAAGGACATGAACTATCTGGGCACAGACAGTGGACTGTGGACTCCTGCCCAGATCAATGCTTAATATGGCCATGCATTTGAGTGAGTGCAATTTATAGAGAAAACTTCACCTCGCATTGCGATGCCATCTACTCTACATGTAAATACGTAATTGTTTCAGTTAGCATCTATACAAATCCCATAACAATAATGTTTGAAAAATAAAGATAGGCCGGGACCAGTTTGGCTCAATGGATAGAGCGTCGGCTTGGGGACTGAAAGGTCCCGGGTTCGATTCCGGTCAAGGGCATGTACCTTGGTTGCGGGCATATCCCCAGTAGGGGGTGGTGCAAGAGGCAGCTGATAGATGACTCTCTCTCTTGTCGATGTTTCTGACTCTCTATCTCTGTCCTTTCCTCTCTGTACAAAATCAATAAAATAAAATAGAAAAATAAAGATAGACTCCCATTCATGCCCTGTATGTATGTAAGGGGGACCCAAAAATATGAAGCTGACAAATTTTATTGTAAAAAATATCCTTAGTGCATGTTTACACATTTGCTATAAGAAAAACACTGACATTGAAACTAAAATATGATTAATGTACCCGAACTGAGCATGCACATGGACAGTATCAGATCATATTGGTCATTCTGAATTTGCTTAAGTTTTGCATTTTTCTTTCAGAATTTGTTTTCTCATGCAGCTTATGTTTTTGCAAACGATGCTAGGATATCTTTAAAATGTGACCTATGTTATCATTTCTCCAGATTCCTTGGCTCTGTCAGGATCTGAATGTGTTGAGTTCGTTATATGCATTTGGGATTCTACTTGTTAGAGAGGGCCTCACCTTTCCTTTCTTTCCTTTATGGGCATTTGCATCTTGATCCCTGTGATTTTTTGTACTTCATGAGCATACTAGATGGCTTGAATGTGGATTATACAAAGGGCAACCAAGGCAGGAACAGCGAATCTTTCAGAGGAAAGAAAGTTGAGAGATTTTTCCCAAGACTGTAGGATTTAGGATTTGCTATGGTGGCATTCCTGTGCTATAGTGGTATGTTTCTTAATTCTTATCTCCAGTTGCCACTGCCCCCTCTGGGGTGAGTTTAAAGTTAGTCTTGCTCGGTTATACAAAGGAAGTCTGAAAACCAGGAGCTGGGGAATAGCGCCTGGACTCCAGTCCCTCTCCTGCTCTGTATTTAACTACTCTGCCTGCCGAGATTGAGCCCTCAGTGAGATGAGGATAAAGTGTTTTCACAGTGCGGGGATTAGGGGAATTAGGCAAAGCTTTCCATACATCAGTGCATTACTTTACCAAGCTTCTCTCTGCCAAAGCCTTCTGCGAGGCTCCAGCTTACTGTGGTTGGCAGGGTGCAGAAGCCTGGTTCTCGAGGACTTGGGTTCTTGCAAGAAAGACACAAAGGGAATGACTGCTTTGATGGGGAACATGCTACCATGGACACGTGCATCTAGCCTCGTGTGCAGGAAGATGAGGTCAAGGGAGACTTTCCAGAACTGGTACTTAATCTGAGAACTGAAGGTTGTGTGGGTTTAGTCTGAAGAAGAAGAGGGTTCCTTGGAGACATGTTCTAGTCAGAAGGGACAAAAGCCAAAAAGGGAGGGAGTGTATTAGGTCTAGTAATAATTAATGTCGTTTTCTAATACTTTTTTAAATAGAATTTATTTAAACAATACAACAAAATTTAATCAACAATATAGTTGCCGTTGTTTTCTACTACTTGTGCCCAACGCACAGGAAGCATTTTAATCCCTCTGTTGTAAAATTCTTGTGATTTTGATGCAAAAAATTCGGTCAATGCATTTTTGAGGCATTCTTCATTATTAAATTTTTTTCCAAGAAGAAAGTTTTGCAAAGAACAAAACAAATGGTAATCGGAAGGGGCAATATCAGGAGAATACGCAGGTTGAGGGAGAACTTCCCATTCCAACTGGCGCAGTTTTTCAGCAGTGATTCTTGCAGTATGTGGTCGTGCGTTATCGTGGTGAAGAATTACGCCCTTCCGATTAATCAGCGCGGGTTCTTTTTCTCTTAAAGCTTGGGCTAACCTTTCCAATTGGGCACTAGACACTGCACTTGTAATGGTTTGGTTAGATGGTAAAAGTTCATAATGAAGAATTCCTTTAAAATTCCACCAAACACACAACATCACTTTTTCCCCATGCAAGTCAGGTTTTGGCGTGGGCTGCGGAGCCTCATTTTTGTCCAACCATTGAGGCCGCCTTTTCAAATTAACATACAGCACCTATTTTTCATCTCCGGTAACAATTTGCTCTAAAAACGGCAAATGGTTTTGACGAGAGAGGAGCGAACTGCAAATCGTGACTCTTTGATTATGGTTGTTGTTGGTCAACTCATGAGGAACCCATTTTCCAAACTTTTGGACTTTGCCAAGTGCACGCAATTGATTGGAAATTGTTTTTTGTGACCAATTTAAAGTTGTCGCAAGCTCTTGTTGGGTAATTTGAGGATTTTGCACCAAAAGAGCTTGAAGAGCTTCTTGATCAAAATTGGACACACGGCCTCGACCACTCTTGTCATCTAACGAAAAATTTCCCTCGCGAAATTTCTCAAACCAACGCTGGCATTTTCTGGTGCTAACTGCATCTTGACCAAGAGCACTACAGATGTTTTTTGCAGCCTCACTTGCTTTTCTTCCTAATTGGAACTTGTAAAGCATGCAGTGCCGAATATGCTCTTCATCCGCCATCTTCTTAGCCCTAGTTTTGCAACAAAAACCAAACCAAACACAAACTTTTTCAAGCAAAACTTGTTAATTGCACTTCACACGTTCTGTAGATACCACGTGTTTGAAGGTTATGTCAATACAAGTCAACGCCAAGCAAGATTTTAAACGAATGTTAAAAAACGACATTAATTATTACTAGACCCGATATACCTTTAAAAAAGGGCCTACTACTTCCTGTGACATATGGAACAATGGGTTTATTAGATAATGTACAATAAAAATTAATTTGTAAACGACATTAATTATTACTAGACCCGATAGCATGCAACAGGAATTTAAAGAAATTTAGCCTGGCTAGAGCACAAAATGCTGGGAGGAAGTGACAAGAGATGGATAGACAGACAGTGGCTGATCTTGGATGGCCCTGTCTGAGTTAGGAGATTGGAGTGTATCCAAGAAAGGGAGCTATTGATGGAT